TGTCCTTCCTTCAAGAACATAAAGAAGCATATGGACCTCCTCCAATTTTCCACACAGCAACCCTATGAGATAGGTTGGGCTGAGAGAATAACAGGCCGAACATTACCCAGTGAGCTTCCATGATTGAGGTGATGTTGAACTTGGGAGCAAGTCGAGCACTCAACCACTATACCATACAGTCTCTTTTTAGAACAAATAAATAATTCTAACAGATGAAATTTTAAAAAGAGATTATAATTTCTTGGAATAGAGGTAGCCCAAGCTCGTTGTACATACTTTGCAGCTGAGTTCTCTGGACTTTGGGAGATTAATTCCAAGGTGCTAACTAGGTTTTCTGCAGATGCGTCACCCTGTCTCTCTGCTAAGCTTCCTCAGTGCAATGGGGAGGGTTGCCTTGTGGAATATTTAGTCTGCATAGGAGTTGAACTCAGGGGGTTTGATTGGTGATTGGAGGTTTCCTGCAAGGTGTCAATCAGTTATTCTTGGGAGTGCTGCTGTTTCCATTTTGATTGGTCCTCGTCTGTTTGTGGTGAGTGTTTTGGATTAGGCACCTGATGGATGGTACATGGTATCCAGGTGAGTGGATCTCTTAATAGCTCATTTGTTTGAGTGCCAGGCTTCTAGGAATTCTCTGGGTGTTTTTGTTGTTTTATGGCATCTATGATTTCAGTATTCTCCCAGTCAAATGTGTGATTAGTTTTAATGATATGGGTGCCTGTTAGATATTCACAGTCCTGGTTCTTCAGTGTAGTTTTGTCCGATATAATATTGGTTGCAATCTAGGCAATTAACTTTGGATATGATTTTACTTCCATCTTGGTGGAGTGTGCAAACTTCAGGATTGCACAAAATTTTTCCTACTGCATTTTTTCCTAATGTACCTGTTAGGCCTCAAATCCAAGTGACCCTCCACAAACAGATAAGGAGGACCAATCAAATTGGAGACAGCAGAGATGAGGTAAAACATGTACTGAAAACCTGATTAATACCTCTGAAGCCCAGAGAACTGAATCACAAGGTATGTAGGGATTATAATGTCCGTCAGCTCTCCCAGGTAAACCAGACAGGAAACATAAATAGATGAGCTAATTCTACTTTATTGTAAGGCTACATTAACA